GAACCAACCGCACTTACTACAGATGAAACCACATCGGTAACTTCTAGTGAGACAACTACCTCTGCTTCTAGTGAACCAACTACTGTTACTGGGGAACCTACCACTGTCACTCCTAATGAAACAACCTCGGTTGCTCCAAGCGAAAACCCGACTACTGTCCCTAGTGACACTACAACGGTTGCCGCGAGCGAAACCACGCCAAACACTAGTGAAACATCGACGAACGCAACAACAAATAGCTCTGGCGAAACCACAACACTTGCTACCGAGGAAACAACGGATAGTACGTCTGGCTCAACTGAAACTCCCGATACCACTCCCGTGGAGAATAATAGTACAAATTCACCCGCTACAGAAGCGCCGCCAGGTGAGTATCTCTACAAATATTTTCTAATTTAATTCGGAATCTTTAATCATTTAAAAAGAAATTATGGAATAGGGCTTAAAAATATATATTTTGAAAACTTTCTTAACCTGAACCGGACGAAGTTATTCTTTGCATACCATAAATATCGTCTTAGGGCCGTTTTCTCAATGTTAGCAATCATCTGTCAGTTAAGTTCTGGTTAACTCAATGAAGGCTCCTTCTTTCGGTTCATTGAAAAAACTGCTCCTAATTACTAAACTATCTTCTATACTATTCTAAAATTCAATGATTTTCTTCCAGCTAATAAGCTTCAATGTTATGCGTGTGAGGGGGACGATTGTGATGAAAAGACTGTGATTAACTGTCCCAATGACGGTAGAGCTTATGATGTTGAGGACATAAACAAAAGTTTATCGGAGAATGCTGCGGAAATTCTTCTTCAAAATTATCGCTCAGTTTCGCGATTGGAACTCGCCGATGTGAAAGGTTTTGCTTGCTACAGGGTGCAAATTCCAGGTAACGGAGATCGCATTATTTGAATTTTATTTTAAATTTTAATAACTCTAAAATAAACGGTTTCAACTCATCTTTTTCTTCTTCTACTATAGTTAATGATGACAGGACATTGAAACTTGGCTGTATTGCCATACCTTATGGCCAAAGCGCATGCGAGGCTGTGCGGAACGAACTGAACATAACGGCAACAGATAATAGTGACGAGTGTGTGGCGTGTCAAACAGACTTATGTAACGGTAGTGCAATAACAAAATTATCTGTGTTGGCACTTTTGTCCGTATTGCTGGCAAAGTTTTTGTTTTAAGTGATAAATAAAATAAATACTTTCTACTTATTTATGTATTTAGTTTAATTTTATATGTATGTATGTTATACTTGTATGTATATTAGTACATATGTGTGTAGATATATTTGTAAGTTTTATAAATTAAAAAAACAACAGCGCTAAAGTAAATAACCACGAATTATTAATGTATTAGTGACAAATATGATGCTTTTGTAAATGATAGTATTTATTATATTGTATATATACCTATAATAAAATGAAACTAAATTGAAAATTACCAATTTCATGCTAGAATCTTGTATTGTTTGCTGAAAAAGTTTCGAGAACTTTCAAAGCTTGCGAAGCTTTGAGAGAATATACATACAAACTAACACGGCATTAGTAAAGCAGAATGTAGCTATCAAGCAAAGCGGTAGATCCTTACTACAATTTAACAACTGGCCAAAACTGGTAGTAATGCATGACCTCCTTTTACCATATAATCAGAGTCCAATCTAGCTTCGCTACTTAATTAAACACAGTCGTAGTCTTAAAAGTCCAGATAGACACTGTGGACTATCCACATTTCTACTTTGGAGCACATGTTGTTTAATAGATGCCTTTTTGCTGTAAACCTTTAAACAATCGTCGGCACGAAAGGTCGAAAGAAAAGTCTACATCACAATGCCAGTGATGACAAACCAAGTTGCCAATAAGCAACACCACTTTTACGCACTCTTTGTGCATTGAAGTTGAAAAATCAAATCTAAATTCAACAGAGCAAGCTGTAATTTTATTTTACAATTCATTTACAAAACTAAGAAACTTTGAATACCAGCTCCTCGAACACCATTGCTCATTTTTGGAACCTGGTAAACTTAAAGTTTCCTAGGATACGTGTCTCCATATAATACCGGAATCTGATACATAATGAAACTATTGGGTCGTTCACTAAGTAATTTCATTTTTTTAGTGCAATTCACACACGATTTTAATTGTGTAAAACATTTTATGAAATTATATATAACCCATTTTGATCCAATACCTTTTGCCATCTTTCGCACAAGAGATTGATTCCACGCGCATAAAAGGTTTCATCCTTGCAGGCAAAAAACTGGTTCAAATGGTTTTTGACATCCTGATATGAGATGAAGGTTGAACAACGACTTTATTTTTTCCACATCGGCTTCAAGAGTCCTTCCAGTACGTGGTACATCCTCAAGATCGAAATTGCCGGAACAAAATATTGCAAACCAATTTTGGCATTGGCGTTCAGTCATCACCTCTTCTCCGTCTTGAACTGCATTTTTTCCCTTTTGATATTATAACAGTAAAATATGCCGTAGATGCTATTTTCGAACTTCCATCTTCGATAGGGCACAAAACAAAAACTGATCCAAAAAGTTTGGGAAAATTTTTCACAAACAAGCCTTACTATAATATATCAGTTGTTCAAATATATAACGGTTAAGCGTTTAAGTGGTTAAGTGTGAAGTTCGCTGCGAAAATTATGAATAAGCCAGCTGTTGTCATCAAACGAAATTACTTAGTGAATGACCCAATAGTTTTAATTTTGCGTCGATTCATAAACGTGTTTTATATGCTCAAGCTTTAGACTGCGGCAGTTGAGCTTTCGAGCAATAATCTGTTCTACGTTCACTCACAGCTTTAAGCTGACAGTGTTTTTAAATCTAATTTCTTCGGCTGTTAAATATGAAGTTATTTGGTGCAGATAACGAAATAAACTTTAACATATATACCTATTGTTCTGTATATATAATATATGCAGGTATATAAACCTATGCGTCCTTGTAACAATATTTGATATACTATAATGCAGAAAACATAAACTAAAAAAATATTTTTTATTAACATTTAATTTAAAAATCTTCATAACTCATTACCCACTATAATCACGCAACACATAATAAAATTTTATGCACACAGCACACCCAGTGCTATGTATAACAGTATATACTTAATTTGTACATACAAGTATAACACAGTACAGTGTTGGTAAGAAAAACTGCGCCCAAATGCAAATATACATATTAAAAAAAATAGTAGTAATTTAAACTGAAATTTACAACCCACTTTCATTGGCAATCGTTTTCCACAAGTATACCATGAAATATCTAATGATAACACAACAGATATGTGATAAGATTGCGCCAACATACGGAATATTGAAATTTAACTGAACGGTGCAGAGATCAGTAGCCGTTTAGCGGTGTAAGTGAACAGAAGTGGCCGAAAATAAAGTGATAATTAAAATAAGTGTTAGAAGTTAATTCTCCTCTTAGCAATCAAAGTAGTGATAGCATAATTTAATATAGTGATCAGGAAAAATTAAATACAAACAAAACAGTGTCTTCAATATGATGTGGCACAACAATAAGTCGTTTATAACTATCTTTGCCGTTTCACTGCTGCTTGGCTACGTCGCTGCACAAGGTGTTAATAGATAAAGTACAGTAGTGCCTGGTTAAACTAATTACAAAATTAAACGACTGCAATTAACTGATTTAAGGCAACGATTCGTGGAATTGCAGTTATATTTCGTCTATAGTCATTTAAAGTAAAATGAGAATGCTTTTGTAGACTTAACATCAATTTTTTTCAAGGCAATTTAATTAAGCAGGGATTACTGTAGTTACTAAATATTAATATAAATATATGTAAAAATATTAAAAGTGAAGGAAAACTAAAAAAAATTCCAAACTATTTCTCTTTAATTAGATCTTACTTGCATTAGTTGCTACGATGCGGATAACTGCATGAAAAATCTAGAGGCCACTGATATAAAAACCTGCGAGGCGAAAACTTGCTACACACAAATTAACGGTATGTAACGTCATATAAAAATACATACATTTTCATGAAAGTAACTAGTCTTACGTTTGTATTTACATATAAACGTAAGTGTTTATAATGCAAAAAACGCATTTGATTTTAGTGATCCCACTTGATAACCAAGTGAAAAAACTCTGATAGCAATTAATATTACATTGTGTTGGTTGACGTGTTGGTGTTTATTGAACAGCAATTGGCTTCTCTGAATAAATGAACACGAAAATAGTCTAATAAATATATATAAATTATATGAAAATATATAGTTTGCGATAAAACTTATCGAAGCACATGTAAGTGTACAGTCAAGTCTGCGTAAAATATTCACTGTTTGCAGAAAACACTTTGAAATTACTGTTTGACGAGTATTCTCGTCTTAAACTGACAACTATATAATGTGGTCTATATTTTAGAAAACATAAACTTGTTTAATTATTTGAAAAACGCATAACGTATAAACTAACTTAACTTAACTTGTGGCGTAACTTAACTTAACTAATTTGTGGCTTAACTCAAATTAACTTAACTTATGGCATAACTTAACTTAACTAACTTGTGGCTTAACTCAAAATTATATATTAACTTAACTTAAATTATGACTTAACTTAACTTGTAACTTAAGTTAACTTGCTATATGGCAGTACTTCCGATTGGGTCACCCTTCCGTATTGCTTCAAATTGTATACAAAAGTTACTTATGTGCTAAAAAACAATTTCCCCTTTGTTTTTTTTTTGCGGAACTTTGTTATTTTTAAGTAAAAATTTAAAAAAATATATATAAATTATAACGAAAACGTACCATAAGTAAACAAAAATAAATTCAAATTAAATTGACATGATCCGTTTTTTGATAAAATATTTAAAAAAAAAATATTTTCTATACAAAAAACTTTTAAATATATATTATTGTTTGTTTTTCAAACAAATAACCCTGGCTGATCCAAAGCTGGAGATAAAAAAAAACACGAAAAATATACTTTTTGGCAGATTGAAGAATCTTTGTGTCAGTTTATTTATTATTGTTTTAGTATTTAAAACAAAAAATAATATTTTTTTTCGAATATTTTTAAATTTTGCCACAAAAGACACATGGAGCCATTTCTGCAATCGGAAGTACAGACAGACAGGTACACCACGCCCACCATTGTTATATTTATCCTAAAACCCTGCTTTCTAGATTAAAAAAAGTAGCTGATTTACAAAAACACTGTTTTTACTATTTTGCAAAATGCAAAAACTTTATTGCACATTTGATTTAATAAAACTAATAAATCAATTTTATCAGAAATTAGTAGAGTTTTTAATTTAAACTAAAAATGTTTGCAAAAAAAATCTCGGTTCCATAATATTTGCGTTCACTCTTTCAGGTCTATATTTTTAAATATACACCACATTTTACAATGCATCAATATATCAATGTCACTTTAGTGTCTTTTATGGGCTATCAGACAATCCCTATAAGCGCATAATTGTGAAATTACACATACTATACTATTCATGCAGTTGCCTGCCAATAATGATAGATTAGCTTTGTTTATGTATTTATAAAAATTGGCTGGTGGATTTCACTTATCAAACAAAGGAATAAAATGCCTTAGCAATATATCAAATAACTTAGTTTGGTATTAATAAAAGATCCAAAGTATCAAAATATAGATTATTGAAACAAATTTCTAAAGTATGTCACAAAATTAAGTTAAATAGGTCATGGTGCTAACTATAGGGGCAGCTTTGGATAATAATAATATATACATATGTATAAAGCGGGCAATGAAATATATACATACTATGCATACATATCTACATAATTGCGCGCTTGCAATGAATCACTCTCGAATTTAGTTTTGTTATCTCCCATGGACTATTGATTTATTGCATGCCAATTGTGATCGCCGTAGCCTCAATAACTGTTTGCTCTTTATCGTGGTTAGCAGCGGCACTAAGCACCTGCGACTATCTATAACGCAAAAAGGTGTATAGTGATTACAACATACATACATATATGAATATCAATATTTATATTAAGACAAGGAACCAATGAAATATTGGACTAACTCGCTGGGGTATTTTTGCTGAAATAAATAAAAACGATTAGCAATTGATGCACATACTACCTGCCAATTAAGACTAATTCATACAATTTTGGCTAGCAGCAGAAGTGTTGATCTCGCTTTTCATACCATAAAAAGGGTATACTAAGTGTGCAACCCTGTAAAGTATATATACAATATATAAATGATTTGTGTGACGAGCTGAGTCGACTGGCTGTATATAAGCGAAGAAAGAACTAGTCTTTAGTTTTTATTTTGTCGGAACCGCCAATATCAGACCACTGTAGCATATGGCTGTCATACGAACTGAACGATCAAAATCAAATTCTTGTATGAATAACTTTTTTATTTGACAAGATATCTTCACAAAATTCGGTATATATTACTGCTGAAGGCAGTAATGCAACCCTCGATCAGTTCAGATCGAACCACTATAGCATATAGCTGTCATACAAACTGAACGCCAAAAATCAAGTTCTTATGTGGAAAACTTTTCACTTCACAAGATATCTTTAGAAAATTTGACGTGGGTTATTTCCCAGCTAACGCTATCGGAGCATATTGTTCAGTATTAGTTAAAAAATGTTTGTATTTCTTCCCCAAATACTCCTAATTACTGCCGCGTAAGAAATTTGCGCGCATTAAGTGTGAATGAACACCAGCATGAATAAATTTGTTTCAGCAATTAAAGCAATATTTAAATTTTCTTAAACAGAGGCACTACTAAAATTTAAGCTTATTTACTTAGTTAAATTTTTTAAATTGTCAAACTCTTATTAGGAATTTTTAAATTATTAAATCCACAATATTTTTTATTCCAAATAAAACATAAAATAATTATTTCAAAGATGCAATTATGTAAATGTCTCAAAAAATGGAAAATCGCATGATATATCTTGTGTAATAACAGCTCTGCAATTCATCAATGTTGCTGATTTCTCGTTAAAAAATAACCTATCACCATATGCAGTTCTCATATTGTTTCATTTTATCCCTGCCAAAAAATATTTTTCTTAAGCGATTGTATAAAATAAAATTTGAGGTTATGTTACACCCCAATGTCATATTTATTTTATTAACATCAAATAAATTGCCTGAAAACCAACAAAAGTAACTGAGCAGTGCTGTTGCTGCTGCCAGCGCACATACAACTGCACTTCGTGAGCAAGTTACTACGCAGCAAATGCGCTGGCATATTTTCATATAAATTATTAAAATATTATTATATTTAACAAATAACTTACCTATATTGCGTTTAAAGTGTGACGAAGCGCAATATTTTGTCGTAAAACCTATAAAATTAATATTTAAAAAAACTCGCACTTTCACAAACTTGAGCCTGCATTACCACTTGCAGCGGCCACTTTTTCACAACACAAAATAAACTGTTTATTTGCCCTGCCGGCGCACATTTTTCACTTATTTTCTATAGCAAACACATAAAACTAACGCAATATTAACAAAAATTAATTGAAATAAACTTTTTTAATTGAAAATTCACAAATCTCACTAAAAGCTTCTTACAAAGCAAATCACTTTAGCATAAGACAAAACGGAAACTGACAGCAAGCAGTGGAAATGGCGGTCTAATTTGGCTATGCACAGAGTTGCATAAGGAATGCAATACTTTTTTTTAATTTTGTGAATTTATTAAATTAAAAGTGCAGGTTTTATTTTATTTTTAATTAAGAAATATTTATAATCATAAAATATATAGCTGCATTAATATACAAGATTGGTTATCATTATTTTATTATTCTTAGCACCCGCAAAAAATTCCTCTATTAAGCAGCCAGTGCAAGCCAAAATGTGTATAACAACAGTGCATGTTAAACACAACCAACAAAGAACAGAAAACATACATATATCATATATTGTATAATATACGTTCTCTGCAAAGAATTGCAATAGTTACAGTCTTATATCCTTTTCATTCATCATTTTTTATGCAATAAATATTGTACAATCATAGATTAATAAAAAATTATTAATAAAAAAATATGTAAAATTATAAATTAAAATATATTAGTGAAAATGCCTTATAAGCAAATGAATACAAATTAAAGGTTTAGCTTTGAGAGCGCTGAGCCAGCCAGCACTGTTTAACTGGCTACTCAAACTGTTTATAATTCGTATACACAACGCTGCTACTTTACTATGGAATAACAATGTAAATGGAACGGAAGTATTTAAAATTATTTTTTTTTTAAAGTTATGTAACTATAACTTTTATTATAATAAACGTTATAGACGATTGCGTTAAATGTACAAGTTATTAGTAAATTAAAATTAACAAGGCATTTATAAAAGCTTCAATATATTGAATTGATAATAGCAACAAATCGATGATTCCAAAATTTCGCAGAGTATAGGTTTGAATTGATTGTATAGCACCGTCATTGTCAAATTATGCACTTGTATGTATGTGTATACATGGTATGCATAGTATATATATGTATATTTAAAGGTTTGTAAACATTTCTTACAAACAGCTGATATTGCAAATTCATTGCAACCGTTTCTGTGTGTGGCATTTTGAAAAGCCAATAAAAATATAAACATTCAAACTCAAAATACTAATATGAGTACCATACACTCTCTTCACAGCTAATCTCACCATTTCGCGTGGTTGTTTGGAAGATGGCAAAGAGAATGAGTGCCAAGCACCAAGCTGCGTTAGTTGTAGCGGTACAGACAAATGTAATAATCTGAATGTATGTAAGTCCTGCAGTTCGGATGATGACCCAAAATGTGCACAAACCGATGCATCTACGGCGAATAACGCTATTTGTGACAAAGCTGACAGCAAATGCATGATTAGCGTGTTGGAAAAGAAGACCGAACGTGGCTGTGTGACAGATGAAATCGAAAAGACATGCACCGATGAAAAGACATGTCAAATGTGTACCGGTGGCGCTTGTAATCTGGGCATATTCCCGCAGGAACGCCGAACATGCTTTCAATGCAATGACACAATTGCAGCTTGTGCAGATGCACAAGCAAGTGGCGCCGCATTGCCGTGCACACAGTACGTAGAGAACGATACCTGTTACATGTATGGCAGCGATGAAACACATCTGACACGTGGCTGTACATCGGATGTGGGCGAGCAAAATAAATGTGTAACAAACGATGAAAAGTGTAAAACTTGTAATTCAAATGCGTGCAATAGCTTGGGTTACAAAACTGAGCAATTGTTGGAGTGCATACAATGCTCTGACAAAGATGGTTGTGCTTGGGGACACGAGGCCAGCACGGCTAAGAGTTGTGAGCAAAAAATCTTATACTCAGCCGAAGGTAAATGCTACACGCGTACCGATGAGAGTGGTACAGTAACGCGCGGCTGTTTCTACGATCTTGATGATGCCGACCAGAGAGCGTGTGAAACTAGCACAAATTGTACTACTTGCACAAATGCGAATGGTTGTAATAATGTTGATACACAAAATTTCACTTGTATTCGTTGCCGAAGTGATGAAAACGACAGTTGCCGCCATAAACCGAGAGAAATTGGCGGCAAAAGTTGCAGAAATCTAGTGCAGTCAAATGCGGACATGAAATGCTTTACTGGCGTTTGGAGTAAGTAATTTATTATTAGAAATATTTATAACCTGAACATAGTAAGTGAATATATTAAGTTTGCCACGAAGTTTGTAACACCCAACCGGAAACAACGGAGACCGTAAAAATATCGTATATATATAAATCACCGTGATGGGCTGAGACAATTTAGCCATGTCCATTTGTTCATTTATCTTTAAATACAAAAACTAATTCCTTCAGTTATTAAGATATCGATGTTAAATTTTGCACACGTCCCTCTCTCACCAAGAAGTTGCTCATTTATCGAAGTCGCATATAGCTACACCATACAAACTAAACGATCAAATTTAAGTCTTTGTATGGAAAACTTTTTTATTTGATGACATATCTTCATTTTTGGAATTCAGCATGGATAACTGTTCAAGGCAACGATACAATCTCCGAACTATTTTTTTAGATCGCATCAATACAGCGTTTTTTCTAAACTAAGTTCCGCACACTTATATTGTATACATATTTTTGTAGCTCTGAACCTTATTAATAATTATATTTATGTAAACAAATGATGATTTATTTATATTTATAGGAACTAATTTGCTTATACGTGGTTGCCTGATCGATTTGGAAGATCGTGATCAATTTATTTGCAATGATCCGTACAACAATAACTGCGTAGTTTGTGAGTCTTCTAATTGCAATAATAAGACAAATGGCGCTGCGTATTTCTTCTTAACAAATGGCTTACTGTCAGCTGTGCTCTTCACGTTGTGGCGTATGAAATAAAATATACACTAACAAAATATGCTACTACAAATATTTAAATATACTTTTATATATATTGTACATATATGTGCTCCTATGAATTTGAAATATAGTAATTTACAAATCAAACTATTGACATATATTCATTACATGCATTACGTTGCAGTATGCACTATCACGCTAAGTACATACTCTGTATGTATCCCAATAATAAATACAATTTTTTGTGTAAAGAAAAAAAAATCATTTTATTTATTTCATATTTGTTCTGCAGAGTTTACGTAAAAAGTAATTACAATTTATATACATAGAGCTTAAATTTACTAAAATCTTGCAAATACATTTTTTTATTCATTATTTAGTTTAAAGCATAAATGAAGCCAACATAAAACTGGTTAATCCCAACCAAAGGCTCAACTGTGAAATGCTTTGGATAGCAGCCGATGGCGCCAAAAGATTGTTGCAAGCCTTCTCATAGCACAGAATGCATTGTTTTGAGTTTGACTTGCAGTACTTGAGGCCTTCGTTAGTGAGTTCGGAAATGCAGCCGCGTGTGGTGACATTTGTGTCAGCTGAAAAAAAATGTTAGACATTGAGGTTAAGTTTTATTAATATTATCATTAACAGTGTAGTGGAAAAATTCTGTGATATATATACTATATATATACTGTAGCGATGAATATTCAATGAGAGTGCATACATATGCAATTTAAAAAACATTTCACACAAACAGAGTTGCGGTTTTGCTAATGAAAATATTTTGAAATTAAAAATTAGTTTTTAAACTATTAATCATGAAATTAGAATTAAATATATTTTTATAAACATGTTTTTTATGAATTTCAAATTTTTTATTGTGAAAATCAGACTTAAAAATTTATAAAATATTTATTTGATTTAAAAAATGGAGTAACAAATTAAAAAAAAAACACTTTTTAAAATAAAAAGCTAAAATGAATAAAAGGTATAAAAAAAAATTAAGGATTTGCTTATTTTTTAAACTGAAACAGCATAATTAAAAGAAATTAAATGTATGTAATAAATGTAATAAGAGTGTTATTTTATTATAAATAAGTTTTCCTTTTACAATAAATATTCAAAATGATAGAACATGAACTACGCAAGCGCAAAGCAACTTTAAATTCAAAAAAAAAAATATTTTTAAATTCTTAATTACAAAATTGAAATTAACATTTTGTTTTTATTTTTCAATCCGTTATTTAAAAATAAATTTTTTTATTAATTAGTTTAAAAATTGTATCCTACTAATACCGAACTACCAGCACTTTACATATTTATAATAATTATCAATTCACTTACCTTTGTACAGTGTGTAGCAGCCATTCTGTTTGTGTTCGATTGGTTGGCAGTTCATCGCTCTACCAGGACCCGTCGCACACTTTGTATCCGTGGTGCTGCTGCAAGAGTAGCAGCTCAGGAGTTGATCTGCGTTCACTGGCGGCGAAATGTTGTCCACTATAACATTTGGTGGAGTATTTACTGCATTACTAGATTCCACGTCCTGTGATTCAGCGTTGTCTACTGCTGGTTTTTCGGCCTCACCCACATTTGCAGTCGGCGCCGTATCGTCACTGTGTTCCACCACAGCAGTTACACCACCATTCAAGGCAGTTTGTTCGTCATAATTGTTTACCGATACTTCGTCTTTATTCGTATCCAACGTATTTTCGTTCGCATCATTCTCCTCATTGGCTGCATTGATATCGTTAGTATTCGGCGGTACAGTTTGCTCTGTGTCTTCCGGTTTTTCAGCAGTCGCAGTGGGATTCTGAACTTCTACATTTGCTTCACCCTCGTTTATGGCTGGTGCATCAGCAGGATAATCTGGCGATTTTGGCCCATTATCCGGCTCTACTACTGTTTCTTGTTGCACTGGTTGCACCTCAGCCACATCTTCAGCGCTAGTGACTTGCGTTGCTTCTGCATTTCCTTCTACATTCGATATTTCCCCCACACCAGCTTCAACCCCTTGATCTTCATTGTGCTCAATTTCGATTGGTTGCGGTTCTTTCACCTTTTCCAAGGATTTGTCTTTGGTATCACTATTTTCCTGTTGAGCTTCGATTTGCTCAGCAGCTGCATGCTGCTCCTCAACTTCTGCATTACCATTCTCACCAATATCTACGGGATTGTCAATCTCTTTCGATACATCTGTCGCACCCTCAGTTGCCTCAGTTGTCACCATTTGTAAAGCTAGTGGCACTGGTAGTACGGTTGCTTGCGATTGCTCGCTTATAACGTCGGGTTCTAGTTGGGAACTCTGTGTGCTTTTACTCTCCAAAATACATACGTAATTTGTTTCAGTGTCTACAATGTAAGGGTTATAGTTTCCAAAACATATTAGATTAGTATTTTAATAAAGAAATTTTTAAAATTTTCTCTAAATTCTCTCAAAAGAAGTTATAATTTTCAACAAGTTTAAATTTTTCGACTTCTTTCAGAATTTACATATATTCTAATGTGATTTCTATATCTATTATAAAAAGTAATCTTTACTGAAACTTTTTCTTTAATTTCTTCTACAAAAAAGGGATAATTCTGAACAGGTTTAAAGTTTGTTCCTTTTAAGATGTTTGTATTTTCGAAATTTTCCAGAAATCACATATATTTTATGTGGTTGCTTACTCTTTTATAACAAGTATTCTTCACCGAATCATAACATAAAATATAATTCTCAACAAGTTTAATATTTTGGTTTAAATTATATTTGGTACTTACCCATAGCTATAACACATCCTTGCTGCTTGCAATCGTTTTGTCTGTCCAACTTTGTTGTATCCATGCTTTCACAACTTGTTATTGCGGGGTCTTCACACAAAGAACACATTGCAGAATGTTCTAAAAAAATATTTTATCTCCGTTAAAATATGTATTTTACAAGATTAATAGATAATGTAAAATCCGAAAAATTAATTAAAAATTTGTTCGATTGGTTCACCAAAAAATTTGCAAATTATTTTCTAGAAACTAATGAAATAATTTTAGTTTAGATTAAATAATGGGGCTAATCGCGGCGAAATTCATAAAGGAACACACTTGGACAAATGAGAACGTCGATCCTTTGTAATGCCTAGAACTTCTAAATAAGGAACAAAAGACGATCATTTATCGGCAAAGTGTATATTCGAGGCAAATTTATGCAATGTCTGCACTGAACCAAAAATAAAAATTGAATGAAGTATCATGAGGTACTTATTCTATCTTTCAAATATCGGAGCTAAATAAATTTTTATGAATTTCTGCTAAAATTGCAAGTGTTTGCACCAGCTATGGATTAACATAAGGATTATATCTTCCAGGTTATGAGTATTTTTTTTTCTTTTGACACACTTATAACAAAATATATCTGATACTTGTATACGTATGTTGATATCTTTTCCATAAATTTTTATTTAAATCAAATTAATCATAATGCCATTGCCACATCACTTTTAAAATATATTTATTTAAGCGCTTTATTCCGTTTAGTAATTTTTAGCAATTTTTTACTTAAAAATATGAAAGTTTAATAAACATTAAAATCGCGTGAGATTTCTTAACTATCAAGCAATTTAAATGTATACATGTAGTGCGTAGGTATACACGTACCCTCAACTGTCACATCAGCTTGGATTCGCATGATGACTATGCTGCTCACATAAAGCAACCAAACGGTATTTTTCATTTTTGAGCTGTTTTCTTGTGGAATTTTTTATTTTTTAAGCGTGTTACAATATTATAACCGATTTTGTCTGCAACTGACAGCCACTGCTGCACAACTCCTGCTGAAATTAAACGGGAGATGCTTTTTTAATAACTCGACTTAATTATTGTGTGCCATGAGATTTACAGGGTGTGCTAGTTAATTTTTAAAAACATAAAATTAGTATTTTAGTAATAATTAACTCATTACTGAGTAATAAAATTTTTGAATTTATTTTTATTTTTTTCTTCATAACTAAATTATAAATAAATAATAGTTATGCCTCGGCCCAACATTTTTTTAATTATCGTCAAGCTTTAACTAAAATGTCATATTTTTTTCAATAATTAATTCTTATGTTACTTTTTTTAAATATATAAAATTAAATTTTACTAAAATAACTAAATGTAATTTATTATGTAATATTTCTAAAATATCATGTTTAATATTCACAATATATAAAAGTTTAATGCAGTCATTTGACGAAAAATTTACATAAGAACTAAGACTTCATTTTACACACTTAAAACTTGTATTTTTTTTTATAAAATTTACTTGTATTTTTTTTTATATATTTACAAATAAAAATACAAAAACTTTACTAATTTTAAATTTTTTTAAAACAATTAATGACATATTTTCCTCAGTTATCACTTTAACATACTGTGTTATCCAAAATGTTGGGAAAATTAAAATTTAGTTTTTGATCCAAAAACCAGAAGTAAAAATTGATCTAGAGTATTGAATAAGTGCAAGGCTCTAGTTCAAAATGGTAGAACATGAAGTACGCAAGCGCGAAAAATATAAAGTCAAAAACAATTTTTTATTTTTTTAATTTTAATTGTAGATATAGAATTAAAATGTCTGTTTTTTTTTATCCGGTATTTGGGCTTACAAGAATAATGTGATAAGAAATTTGAAGACTATTTTTAATTAAAATCTTTGGGATTACAAAACTTTACTTTACAAAACTTAACTTTAAAAAAATTATTTAAATGTTAATTCAACTTAAATTATCATTTAATGCATTATTTGCAATGCACTCTTTTAATTTTTTTATTTCTTTGTCTCTATTGATTGCATATTATATGTTTTTGAAACTATTTTATTTTAATTGGTTTAATAATTTTGTACGATTTCCTTTAAATTTATATTTTATTTTATTAAAAAGAGGTTTCTTATTCTGTTTTTGCGTATTGGCACACCCTGTAATTGCTGGCCGCTAGCTGCACTGTATTAAATCAAACATTTTATATTTTTTATCGAATATTTTACAGTTCGATTTATTTTATTTTTTATCGCCTTGCAGCTCAATTACAAATTAAATAAATTTATCAGCATTAATTTAATATTAAAACACACAGCAGCGATAAAAACAAAAAAAGATCACGCTTAATTTATAGCCAACAACAACAAGCAGCACAAAGAAAATACACTTTTAATCTGGTTGCCAATCAAGCCGAGCCAATATTTGACATGATAACTCTCGCACAACTTGACGAATGACACTGCGTATGATGAATATCATACGTGTACCGTTACAGTTTACAGCCATCAATATTTGAAAACAATTAAATTATATACAATGAAATCAAATATAATGAATGTTATTTGTCACATATTTTTGTGAGGCATGGGGTGGGCCCACGACATTTGGGCCTACAGCTACATTTACCCACACATATATGTACATATGTTTGTATTTATTTGTTGTTTTTATAAATTTCTTTTTGTAGGTTAACTGACTCTATACCAAATGCTGATGTCTATCTCGTTCAGTGCATACTAAATAATTAATAATGTGAACGGGAAGCAATTGTTGGTGTGTGGTCGCCAAATTGCCTGGGAATCCACGCTGAACGCTGCTCCTCAGCTGTTGGGCGAAATGAATGGGTTGCGTTGGAAAATGACCAAAGTTATGAATGAATATAAAGTTATTCCATATTTGTATATATGTATATATGTCTTTGGATAACTGTATTGCATGCAATTAAGGAATAAGTGTTTTGCATATAACGGTATATACATATTGTGTGCCTATCGTTGTATGTAGTAAATAATGCTATTAAACGATTGTACATGACGATAACACACATTAATTAACTCAAAAGAATGAAATCGATATGTTAGCTTAGCTTAATGACCCGTAAATTCATATTGATTTTTGAATTTATAAAATTTTAATGAAATTGGCGCTTTACTAGCACTAGCATGTGTGAGGGAAGCATTAGATATTCACCACGAAACACGTAGAAATTGAACGTGGGAACACGATGGGTGTCCATGACTTTGCTTGACAGACTATATTTGAAAAATTAGACACGCACAGCGTTTCGACACACATTTTTATATATCAGAATGTTATATAGTAGAAATTGAAAGTGTTAGTGACATTACTTTTCTTTAGGTTTCGTTGAGTAAAATTAAAAACAAACAAAAAGCTTAACTTCGGCTGCACCATGCATGGACTTGATTTTGATGAATCAATTTAAATGGCAGCAATATCCTATAGTAACCCGATATTGGCGGTTTTGACAAATAATTGGCATCTTAGAGAGAAAAAGTGTTCGTGGCAAACTCTGTACACTGTTCAGGATATAATGACATTAAAAAGTGTTCATGACCTCATTAGCAATTTATGATTATCCCTACGTTATAAACAAACATGTACAAATATACTTGTACTTGCAGCAAGCATGATGTTCACAAATGTACATACATACATATGTATGTATCCAAGGCATGAGCTTTGCAGCAAGTGGGCCACAGAAAGGGTCAAATATGTTACTTTGCCAATCAGTTATCAACAACATGTAAACACAGTTATCTCATATTGATAAATATAAAGCTCAAGTTACATTACATTGCACTTACATATACATATGAACCTTTCCAGGTGCATTAGTGATAAAGAGTAAATTTACAGTCAATGGCAGAATATTTATAACCTCTATTGTCTGCACTGACTAATATGCCATAAATGCAAGGCAAATAAAACTTAACAATAATAACTCAAATTGCCCTTATAAATACTTAATCATGACTCAGTTATAGTGCGCACACTATGTACATATATTTATAAATACATGGGTAGATATATAAGGATTGGTATATAAGTGTTTTATAAATGCAAGCTATTTTGATATCTAATAGTGGTTCAAATGGTATTTTGCGCAAAAAATTTGCTATTTCAGTGCACACAATTGCAATGTAATTAGCATTGTAATTTAATTATAATTGACATTCAGGCTATTTTTAAGTATATTCATTCAAATTGTCTATTCGCTAATTTTTTCAAATCTTCGACACAAGCACCGTATTGTGGCATTTCAAATGCTGCCAATCAGCCCATAAATATAATTAAAATATTCTATAAATAGAAGTATGATATGAGTATACATATTCATGTACAAATAATTGCAAAAGGATAGCATATATTCAAAATAATCTCGCCTTTCGAGGAGGCTGCTAAAATTGTAGCATACTCAACCATATCACACTACTTCTGCTTGGCGGCAGGCTTAACTTCACTTAAACTCTCTTTGAAAAGTACAATCTTTAATAATTTCATTATTATTATCTTATAATTTTAAACACAAATGTTTAAATAATGCACAATAGTTCTCAATTAGAAAAAGCTTCGCTGCTTCTCATGAAATGGCGGCAGGTAATGTCATTTCCGTCAGAAACTAACGTGCAACAGCAGTTCAGAGTTGGTTATCGAATTGCTGATAACTTACCGAAATAATTTAGTATTTGAAACAAATAGAGTAAAAATAAATGATTAATTATAAGCAAATATATATAACAACATTGCAGCTTAGAAGATACAGATACTTAGCAATTAATCGACTACAGTTCAAACAATTTATTTTAGATTGCGACAGTTTTGCATGCACTGTTGTTATGATGCAGAGAAATTTGTGGAGCAATTATAATGCATATATATACTGTTATATACCTATTCAAAATAATAATTTTAATAATTCAACAAATAAAAGGTAAATTTCTGTGCTTTAAATAAATTTAATTTAACGTAACACTTTAAAAAACTTTAACTACAAATTTTACGATTTCTTAAAAGCAACCAATAATCGATTATTATATTCTTAACATGAGCACTCACCCCTAACGCAAAACAGCTGTTTATAAGAATATTTTTTCACTGGTGTGCGTCCGCAAGTAATTAAACTTTTGCATTTCTTCCATTTATTTTGGTAAATTATAATTATTTATACAATTCAGTTAGTAACTAATATTGTAAAATGGGCACTAAAATTGTGAATCGTATCATGTTAATTACCGGTTTAATAAGTTTAATACACGCCGCTTTTTCAGCAGCACATCGTAAGTATTAAAGTAAGAGACGAAGCATCAACTAAATTAAATTGCATTTTGTGAATTTCTAGATCGCACCTATCTGAGGCTAACGGAGCAAGACTGGACTCGTCTGCCTGTAGATGTAAGTAAAACTGTTTTAACACAAAATTCTTGGTTCATATTAAAATAGGTATTGTAATGTCTCAATTTAGGTTGTCGTGCAGACTGTTGTCAGTCTGCTGGTGGTCGTGTACAATTTAATACAAGTGGTTGGTAATTTCAAGGAAATACGTGCCACCGTTGATATGCAAGAGAAGTCTTGGGATACATTAGGCAACTTACCATCATTTTACACGTTCAATCATCGTGGTATGGCTTTATATCAAAATTATGAAGCTGAATCATCAAGCGCTAGCAACAAGAGTAGTCTAGATGTAGAATATTAGCAAAAGGAAATTGTGTTTAGACGTAAATTAGTATTTGTGCTTACATTCTTTGTAAGCTATATTTGCAAATCCAATAAATCGAAATTTTTCGAATAAATCCAAAACAAATACACTTGGGCATTTTTTTACTGAATCCTTCGAAGAATTTGCTCAATTATATGGTAAATAAATATATAAAAGATTATGCGCCCGGTGATGTTTTGAAAGAAAAATATCTCAAAACGCACCATCTGTGATTCCTCAATGCAAAATACACCAATGAGATATTTGTCTGCATTTAAATTGATAAAATGGGTAAGTTATTAAAATTCAATACAGCTGTATACAAAAGCTATTTTTCCACCTTGTAATAATTTAATAATGAAAGCTTAAAAAAAATTATTTAGCATAGAAATATGCCTACTATGAAGAAATATGGCAGCGCTACATTTCTTAGTACATTTATCAAGTATGGCAACTCTCAATCTCCAATTGGAAAAGGCCATTTCGGCCAGTGTTGTGTTTCTTGATTTCATTGCTATTATTTTCGTAATTGTGTGCAGACGTTTATTTCTTGATAACGCTCGTTGTGCGGTAAAAAGTAACGGAAATTAGCTTAATAACGAAAGATCAAAATTGAGAGATACAAAGATTAATGCAGTGAACCTATAAAGATTTTAAAAAATATTTATAAATCGCGGTTTAAAACTACTGCGATAACTAACAGTTTTTTCTGCTATCCACTCGCACTTGACAGCAATTGATATTCGTCGAAATTTTGTGCGCGTATTTGTATTTTTGAACATTTCTGTATCCTTATTCTATTTTTGGCGAAAATCAGTTTGCACAAGTGTTTGTCATTTACGCAGTGGCATTGTGTGTGTGTTTATACTGTTATCCTTTTTATCCTGTCATTCGTATTTCAACTTGATAAGGGTGTGTACTTGATGACCTACCCGCTGAAAAAAGTATTTGAAGTGAAATATAAAATAAACAAGTGAAACATTCGTGTACACCTGCAACTGCAGCGTTAACATAAGGTGCAAGATAAAAACTACTCGAAAATACGACTTGTGCAAGTGAGGAACCGAGTTTTCAATTTTTGTAACGCACAGAAAGCATAATTTTCGCAAAAATGTCGGTATCATCGAATGCATCATCTGCATCGTCATCTGTAACTGGTGTGCCAATCAGCAACGGTAGTGGGAGCAGACCATCGTTGGGGCGACCGGGCAGTTGTGATTCGTCCTCTGCAGGCAGTGACTCGTCTGAATTAACACATATTTTGAATCGCAGACAAGTAATTATGGATTCGCAGGAAGCAGGCATTGAAGTGCCACATCAATTCAAAGTAGTTAATGTATACACAGAATTTCACGAATTCTCAAGGAAACAAATTAAGGATTATCAAAAAACCTTTAACAAGTGAGTTTTTAGGAAAAATTATTTCGCATCAAACGTGGTTACGAAACAATTTTCATAATTAATTTATAAGTATACACGAATATATCTAGATAGCTACTGGATGTGCAACAAAGTTTAAATGCTTCTTTAAAAAACTTGGAATATCAATATGTAGCCTTGAATGACAACATCCTTGCCAAGGTCACTAACACAGATATTTTTAGCGTAATGCGTGCATGTAGTACATACATATATGTATATGTCGTACGTTATGCGAAAGGGTGTATAATTCATAATGCCAAAGAATACTTCAGCCCCTGTAAAGCTAATGCAAACACCAATGTCATCAGCCACCACCACCGGCAAGTCACCCACGTTACCCTGAAATTACTTCACAGTCACGAGACTGCATTGAAGCGTATAGAAAATGTAAATCAACAGTAAACGAAAAAAAAATTTAGAAAACAAACAAGAAATGATGTAAAACATATACAGCAGCTCAGCTATCTTCGCTGCATAGGATTATGCAGTGGTTGATATGCAACGCTTGCATGTGGAGCAATGTTTTACTTCGCTTGTTGGTTTTGTTGTGGCAGAGCGTGTCACATTTTTCTCACTATCACTGCCGTTCATGCCTGTCTCTATAATAGCTATTGCATTTGCATTGTATGCACTTCCTCATCTTGGAGAGACTGTTTAATAATTTATGAATTAACCGCAGATCGTGTCGTTCACAAACATTGGCAGTATTGACATGACGCCTTTGCCGACTGTCTAACTGGCTAGCTTGCTGCCTGCCAGTTAGTCACTCTGCCTCCATTCACTTCTTGTTCACATCTTCATTAGTTTATATGTATGTATGTTTGTAAATTTGTGTAAATGCGTGTGTATACTACTGCGTATTACTGTAATCACGATTATTGTCATGTAGCCGGCAGCTAGACACGCTGGCGCATTCTCTACCTATAATATATGTTTACAGTTTAAAAAAAGCTTACGCATATTTCTTTCTTACGTGTGCGCTTTTCCGTTTACCACAACATAATTTTTTTTATGAGTAGTTATAATGGTCAAATCGAGCATATGATTATCGCATGTAATTGATCCAAAGTTCTCAGTATTACTTCTTTGGTATTTTTTGTTTACATTTTTTATTTTTTTATAATTTTATTAAATTATCGTGCGTAGTATGAGAATAAGTATGTGTGTAACTATAGGTTTATATTTAATTTTATGCGGCGTACATTTTTATTCTCTGAAAATGTTTTTCATATTGAAATTTCCCTTTAAAATATTATAATAAAATTTAAGAACGTGCATTTAATAGAAACAAAAAATAAAAAAACAATATTTGCAATTTTTTCCATACAAGTACTTGATTTTTATATTTGCTTAAGTAATAGTTTGTATGGCAGCTGTATAATAAAGTGGTCCTGTATCGGCGATTTCTACATATTAGCAGCTTCTTGAGGAGAAAAAAAAATCTGCAAAATTACAAATCAATATCTCAAAAACTGAGAGTTTAGTTCGCGTTTATGCAGACAGACGGATATGACTAAATCGACTGTCCCACGACCAGAACGGACTCGGATTTTTAACCGGTCAAAGACAGTCAACTCGACACCATTTTACGAAATTACTTCAGGAATTTTCTGCCGCTGCAACAACAACAACAACAACTTAATTAACTCAGCTGGTTACTCTGATCTTTAATTTATATACATATTTTTTGTAAGGTCTCGGATGTTTCCTTCTGAGTGTTACAAACTTCGTGGTCAAATAAATACACCCTGTTCAGGATATACAAATAAAATTTAGAGTTACTTGTATACCTATGTTTCAAGTTGTAGCTTCTTACTGCCCTGCACATCACGTGTTAGAATCTGCCCTTTATAGCAAAATGATTAAAATTTACACAATATTTATTGTATATTCAGACATTTTGGGCTTTAACAACAACAATTCCTACATTGTAACTAACAAATTTAGTTTAAGTAACATTGCCATTTAACAACAACAAAAAGTCAACTTCCGTCCTAATTGCATTTAATTACAACTGATCAAAAGCGTGTCAGTCAAAAAAACATTTAATAAATAAATAATCACAGTAATAATAAATTACTATGAATAAAATAAAACACTGCAGTGACGATAAGAACTGCAGTTTGCGACATAAGCGCTATAATTGCCCACATACATATATATGCATGTGTTTACGAATGTACATATCTACTTTGTATGGATTTTGAACTAGAGCTCAGATCGTTTCCTATTTATTCCTCTTGTTTATGTCGTTCAACCGTTTTATCATCAGTATGCTCACGAATATGCATGTAGGTGTGTATATGCATATGTATTGTTGACTCTTTAGTGCTTGTATGCATATTTATCTTAAAGTACTATGCTGACTTACGCTTATCGCAACAAGGCACCAACCCTCGCAATCGCTGGAAGCGCCATACTTGCGTCTTAAAACTAATATTTACTTATTCTTGATATACACAACGCTACTCTTCTTTAATTTTTGTTACATAAATTTTGCTTACCTCTTCAACAAATCCATTGAATGACTAAATATTTATGTATGTAGGTAGATGTGTACTCACATACATACATATTATATAAGTATAGTACTTGTACCCAAGTACTTAAACGCAACAAAAAAATTATATTTTATT